TTGGTGAAGGGCCATTTGTTTTTTTTTTTAAAATACAACTCCTGATCATGTAAGCTAAAATTGTGTTGTGAAAGGCACTTTGTAAGATAACAAATCTCCTTTTGAAGAACTTAGAATGATTTCTTTTCCCTGAGCTTTAAAATGGGGAGTTGTGATTAAGCTGAAAGATTCACTTAAGCTGAATTTTTTAACATTTTTTAATGTTGAATACGCCCGTAACATTTTCTATTTGCAAGTAACCCTGAAATTAAATTTGGCTGTATGGTTATTATTTTAACTTGGGATCACTTTTCCCTGTCTTTCTCACATTCCGTGTCGTAGTTGTTGTAATTGCATTGTTTTGCAATTACAAAACATTAAAATTAAAAGAATACTGGCCGGGGGCAGTTGCTCACACCTGTAATCCCAGCACTTTGGGAGGCTGAGGTCAGAGGATCGCTTGAGGTCTGAAGTTCAAGACCAGCCTGGGCAACATACTGAGACCCTTGCCATTTTCTCTACAAAAGATCAAATAAACTTAGCCAGGTGTGGTGTCACACCTATAGTCCCAGGCCCTGGGGTGGGGCTGAAGGAGGAGGATCACTTGAGCCCAGGAGTTTGAGGCTGCAGTGAGCTATTATCATGCCACTGCACTCCAGCCTGGGCCACAGAGTGAGACTCTTTCTGAAAAATAAAAGGAGTACCTGTCACATGGCACTCAGTGGGTCAGCCCAGCCTGCAGTCAGGGTTTCCTTGTATCCTTCACACAGAAGATTAAGAGTCGGGCTCCAGCTGGTAGTTTAGCAAGAGCACCGCCTCTGGCCTGCCCACCCGGTGCTGTTGGACCAACCAGGAGCCTAATAACATTTGGCAGAGGTGGGGAGGAAGGAGCTGGTTCTCACAGACATTTAGGTCTTTGGCCTTCAGTGTTCTTTCCAGCTCCTTCCTTTTCCCTCATCAATGTTAGCATTAAAAGAATAGATTGTGTTAAGTGATGATCTTGAGTCGACTGCCCACTTGGCATGAAGGTGAGTGCTGGTGAATTGGGGGAAGGACAACATTTAGAACCTTTAGCTCTGTTCCTGTGGTGTAGGGCCAGTGAGAAGGCAGGTAGTCGGCTTCTACCTGGCAAGTTGTAAGAAAACAAATGCCAGGCATAGTCAAAATAACAGCCTGGGGGCCAACATCGACAGGAGGAATTCAGCAGTCCACGTGTCTCTGCAGTTCTAGGGAGTGTGGGCTGGTGGAGCATTTTCTGAGGTTAATGACTTCTGTGTTTCCTGCTGGGTGGTTAAGCTCCTGGCAGGCTTGGTGCATCTGTGTATGTTGCCCACCATGCGCTGCCACTGGGTGGGTGGGTGGGTGTGCATTCAGGAATTGAAAGGGCTGTTTGAAAGATGTAACCAGCGATTTTGGGAAGAGTCAGCCACCCTTTTCCCTTCTGCTTTTGGCCTGTTAGAGCAGTGGTTCTCACTCTGACTGCACATTGGGATCATCTAGGGCCTGCGTTCCCCACCCCTGGGCTGTGGCCTCGTACCAGTCCGTGGCCTGTTAGGAAACGGGCCATGCATCATCGCCTGAGCTCTACACACACATGCACCCCCGACTCGCCACCCCCAGTCCATGGAAAAATTGTCTTCTATGAACCTGGTCTCTGGTGCCAAAAAGGTTGGGGACTGCTGATGTAGGGAGCTTTTTTTTTTTTTTTGAAATAGGGTCTTACTCTGTCACCCAGGCTGGAGTGCAGTGGTACAATCATAGCTCACTGCAGCCTCCAACTGTTGGGCTCAAATGATCCTCCCACCTCAGCCTCCTGAATAGCTGGGACTACAGGTGAGAGACACCGTGCCTGGCTAATTTTTTAAATTTTTTATAGAGAGATCTCCCTATGTTGCACAGGCTGGTCTTGAACCCCTGGCCTCAAAGCAATCCTCCTGCTTCGCCTGCCCACGGATTACAGGTATGAGCCACTTCGCCCAGCCTAGGAGGGCTTTCAAAACTAAAGCTCTCACCTGAGAGCGTGCAAGTCAGTGTGCCGGGCAGCCAGAGCTGAGGGCGCTTGCTCAGTTCAGACCTTTACTCTTACGTCCAACACGAGACGGTTCTTTGCTAAAGCTTGTCTGACTGGCTATGTCCTGCCTTTGGGTGGTCTGTTCAGAATGACCACCTTTCCAACCCTCTGGTTGAAACCTGGCTTCTGGTTGTACCTGGGTAACTGGAACAGAACTGGCAATCGTGTAGCTTGTAGGGCTGCCCGTATGGCACAAGAATGGTGTAACAGGTTGTTAGAGGGCCCTGTCATGTGGCATCTGCTTCCCAGGTGAACTCTTTGTGTATGGATCTGCTCTGTGCTATGGATAATTGAGCTAATTATTTAGATAATGAAGCCACAAACCATTTTATTTGGAACATTCTCAGTGAATTATCTGGGCATTTGATTTTGAATCATCCAGGTAAATTTCTCAGTTCTTTGATGTGTGCGCATGAATGCTGATGAGTCATCTGTGGTTATTCGGAAACCAGACACCACTGCGAATGAAGCCTTGGCATGCTTTCTCCTTCTTGGGGAGATTTTCATGGATTGTTCTGGACTCCTTCCGCCCCGCATGTGTTATTAGTGAGACATGACACTAATTCCTTACTTAACTATTAATATAATCGAGTAAGCATTTACTGACGGCATTAAGGAGCATTGACTTTTGCATCTTAAGTGCTGGTATTTGCAGCATTTTCTGACCATATCATCACACTTGTGTTTTCTCAATTTGTAGGTCCTGCTGCTGTGACCAGCCAGTCTCCCATTCCATGCAAACTCTGTATCCTTTACAAAGGCGTTGGCACTGAGCACAAAAGGAAAAGTGCTGGCTCCTTCTCTACAGGGTGGTCCAACAGCCCCTCCCTAGGCAGCGTGCATTTACGCTCTGAGAGCCACCCAAGGGGAGCTTCCCTTACGTCTGGGGGCCTGGCATCTAGGGTGGCCCCAGCATGTGGGGGTAGGGGTGGATGCTAATCAAAGCTGGCTTTGCCTTTTGTTTTTATCTCTTCTTGGTTTAGAATTTCCTATAACGTGTAGATTCTTCATCCTGGATTGTCTTTCAACCTGACATCATCATCAGCGCAAGCCAAGGTAGGTCAGGTGGGGGACAGTTGTCATGTTAGGAAATAGTGCTTGTTGACCTTGGATTACAGTTGTAGCCAGTGACGTTTTCAAGGTGAATCTCAGAGATATGACCTCTCCCTTTAGCCTTGGGAATGGGGTTGTTTTTCACTGTACACTCTGTTGTCTACTATGTGTTCATTTTATCATGAGCATATGTTACTTTTTGTAATTAAAGCAGCAACTAAGAATGGCCATTGCCCCACCGTAAGCCCATTCTGAACAGCCAGGCTCCATGGCACAGTGTCTGCATTCTCTCCTCTGCCAGCGTTCCCATGGGTTACCTGTGCCCTTCTCTGTTCTCTGTGTGCCTGGGAGCTGCTGCTCCTCCTCACCTGGCTGGTGGAGCCTCCCTCAACCTGTCAGTTGTCTCTTCCTGGGTGATTACCTTGTATCTTTATTGGAGAACTTTCTACATTAGTCTTTAGTCATCTGTGTATTTTCCTGTCTTATCCTGGGATTTTCAAGGAGAATTCTAAGGAGAGAATTAGCCCTAAGCCATAGGCATCCACTGTGTATAACGAATTCACTTCTCTCTTATGCATCTGGAATGGTACTAGTTCTGTATCTGCCTTGAGAACTGAGAAAGTGATCACGCAGATTATTTTTTATGGAGCTCTCCATTCTCTTGCGGAACCCCAACTGAGAAAGGCCGCACCAGACTGTGCCTGCCAGGCAGGGTGGGCGTTCATTCAGTACATTCGTGGATGGGTACGTGGAGGAATTATGAAATCCACTGAAGCCTCTTACCTTTTGGCCTAATGAGCCAGTGCAGGAGAAACCAAAGTGCAGGACTGAAGTTGATGCCATATGGTAACTGCTTTTTCTACTTTAAAGTAGGAACTATTACATGTTAAAAGGGGGGACTAGGTGTGGGGAAGATACCATTCGGAATTAAGGACTTGTCACCCTCCATATTTAGGCAGATGCACCATCGATGCACCTCTGAATGCAGAGGCTGTTTGTTTTAAGGAGTCAGCCAAGTGTGCAGACATAGTCCTTCTGTCGTCAATGTTCCTGAATGTCCTGGCTCTGCTTTGCTTAGGAAGGAAAGCCATTAACCATACTTTGCAGTTCCTCCCTTCCCCCCATCTTCCTCACAAATGTTTAGGGAAACCACTTTTGGGGCTTTTGTTCTGATTTGCATCATACTGTTAAATTTGCTGCCTCTTAAAATCCAGGTTACCTCTGGAACCTCCAAGTGAAACTTGAGCCCATAGTAAAGCTCTTGCCGGATAAGGGACGATTGATGGATTTTCTTCTCCAGAGAAAGGAATGCAAGATGGTCATCCTGTCTGTCTGCTCACAGAGTAAGTAGAGGAATCTGTCCCCATTGCTCTGGTTCTAGTATTAGGCCTGTGCTGCCCAGTTTTATGGGGTAGGGGCGGGGGCCACATTTTTACACCTGTCTATAACCTGTAACCTCATTCGTTATGTGAAGGATGGATTATTTAACCCCCTAGAATGCCTGCTAAATATAAAAATGCCTTGCAGAGGCCAGGCGTGGTGGCTCACGCCTGTAACCTCAGCACTTTGGGAAGCCAAGGTGGGAGAATTGCCTGAGTCTAGGAGTTCAGGACCAGTCTGGGCAACGTAGTGAGACTTGTCTCTACAAAAAATAAAAATCAGCTGGGTGTTGGTGCCAGCTACTATGGAAGGTGAGGCAGGAGGATCGCTTGAGCCTAGGAGTTCCAGCATGGGTGACAGAGCAAGACTCAAAAAAAAAAAAAAAAAAAAAAAAAATAATACTTTTCTATTTAACTCAGTGGGTTTCTCCCTGCTTTTTATTTTCTTAATTTAATATATCAATCTTCTGACATTTCGCTGTTTTGAAAGTGAAGATTCTGTTTCTTAAACTTCACTTCAGGTGTTACCAGAGAAACGGACTCTGAAACTGCTGAAGAGCCACAACATCAACGTGAATTGGTACATGTACTGCCCCGAGAGTGCTGTCATTCTGCTGTCCACCACAGTCCTTGAGAATGTCCTGCAGCCTTTTTATTTTAGGGTAGGAGTAACCCTCCCCTTAAAACACTCCCTTCCCCCCCTCTTACCCTGTTCCTCTGACGTCCTAACCCGGCAAGCACCTTAGGGGCCAGTTTCTTCCAACCATAACCTCCCACCCGTGACCACTAGGGGGCGCACCGCACCACCGTGTGCGCCAAGAATGAGTCATGCTGTGGAGCCGGACACTGAGCAGAGGGCGTGGTGGGACGTTGGAAGGGATGGAAAGATGTCCTGTGCGACTGTCCTCATTGATTTTACGTGGGGAATGGTAAAACATCGAAGGGGTTTAGTAAACTTTTCCTCCCGCTGAACAGGCTGGCACCATGTCGAAGCTGCCCAAGTTTGAGATTGAATTACCAGCTGCGCCCAAGTCAACTAAACTCAGCCTTTCGGAGAGAGACATTGCGATGGCTACCATGTATGTCTGGCTTCGAGAGAGTTCCCTCTTGTGCTCGCTTTTGTGATACAAGGACTAGAAGGAGTGTGCTGAGTATGTTACAAGGACCATGGTGATGCTCTGTCCTTAGGGACAGGAACTCCTAGAACACATAACGAGGAACGCTCCCGGTCCCGTTTATGTAGCACCTACATTTTATGAATATAGAAAACTGTATTCTTGGCAGGTTCTTGGCATTCTTTTTGATTATACAAACTTTGCGGTCTTAGGGAAGTCTTTTTACCTTTCTAGGCTGATAAAATGAGATTAGCCAATTTATTTCTTAGGTATCTTAGTTTTAGATTTTCTTTTCCACTCTGAGTTGAAGCTTAACAAGGGTTTTTTTTTTAAAGCCAACTGATATTATAATTGCTCAAAATAAGAAAATAGGTTAAGTTTTTAATCTAACAAACATGGAACTGAATTACTTATATAGGAAGGTACGTTTTCATTTGGAAAAGCAGATAGCTCAGTTAATTTTTAAACTTTGTAATGAAAATTTTAAACACAGAAAAATAGAAACTAATACAAAGAACCCCCTATATCTCTGATTCAACAATTACCTCTGTTTTGCTTCAGAATTACTTCTGATTCTTCAGTGGCCTAAAACAGTGGTTTCCAAACTTTAAAAAAATTTTTTAGTAGTAGAATGCTTTTTCTTTTTTAAAAAAGGTGCTCTTCTGTGGCATCCCACTTGAGAAGGCAGATAAAGTGAGTGTGGTCCTGACTGAAGTGGAGATGGGACCCACTCCTCTGTCTTTGGTCCCCTCAGCCCTGGGGCAGGCCCAGCCCAGCGTTCACCACTGGGGAGATCATGTGCATGCAGGAACTGCTCACAGCAGCATTGATGAGATGGCACTTGAAAATGAATAGTGATTATATTTTCCTTTTATTAAGGAATATGTATGTATCATATAAAACTTGGAAAACAGGAAAAGAAAATACTTAGGTTATCACTCAGTGATAATTATATTAACAGCATGTATTTCTTTCCAGTCATTTCAGATTCTGTGCTTAGGTTTGTGGTTTTCTTTCAAAAGATTATGATCAGGCTGTGTTTAGTTTTGCCTTCTCCTTTCTACTTTATAAAGATAAGAGGCTTTGTTTGACTAATGGCACTTTGTAAACCTTTTCGTTGGCTGCAAAAAATTCCATTAAGTGAATATCTCATAATTTACTTAACTGTGGCCCCGTATAGAGTAGAGGAATTTTAAATGGCCATTTGTGACCTCGGTCTCTTTGCTCTCTCATTAGATACGGGCAGCTTTACGTTCTCTTCTTGAGGCATCATTCTCGGACCTCCAATAGCACAGGCGCGGAGGTGGTCCTGTATCATCTGCCACGGTACATGTAGTGCTTTCTTCCCTCTTCCTCTGATTTTAAAATGTGAACTAAAGCTTGTTGATCTATTTTTTTTTTCTTTTTATCGTCCTGCAGAGAAGGTGCCTGTAAGAAGATGCACATATTGAAGTTAAACAGGACGGGGAAGTTTGCCCTAAACGTGGTGGACAACCTTGTGGTCGTGCATCACCAGGACACAGAGGTGTGAGCTGTGTGTGTTTGAACACACACGCATCTACTCTGCATTTGAACACAGCAGGGTTGTTTAGAAGCCTTGTCAGAATTGGCCAGACATTCTGAACAAGGACTAGAAATTGCATTTTTATGCTAAAAGTTTTGGTCTTCCAGATGGAAGTGGGTTTGATATTCTAAGTGGTTGAGAAAAAGCGATTCCCTGTCAGTTAATTAAGGGTAATGAAAAACTATTTCAGAAAATAACACATGAGGAGATTTGACCTTTAGAACAGGTGGGAAGCCACTGTGTGCTGTGAGTACATGAGTTCTGTACTTTGTTTATGAGCATAGACGGCAGCGCGGATGATGATGGTCTTGGGGCTCTGGCCCAGGACAGCTGGAATGGGCTCTGCGTTTTCTAGGCCGTTAGCTGGGCCTCTGGTGCTAGAGAAGCCGCTTCCCTCCTAGACCTCCGTGGAGGGTGGTGACACTAAGTCTTTAACTAGCGAAGATGCTGCAAGTTAAAGTGAAAAAGATCTGCTTAAATCACTTGGAGCTTTTCAAAGGAATGTCATAAATGCAGGAAATATTTGTGGGGAGAAATAAAGGTATTATAAGAGAGCCATGGTGTTAATGGCAAATTCGCCTGTAGGGAGGGAACGCAAATGCGGACCGTGAAACTGACCTCAGCAGTGAGATGTGAAGTAATGAGAGACATGCCACACCATGATTTGTCTTGGCCCCACAGTCTTGTGTTTTCTCCCCCACAGACATCGGTCATATTTGACATTAAGTTGCGGGGCGAGTTTGACGGCGCCGTTACCTTCCACCACCCCGTGCTTCCGGCTCGATCGATCCAGCCCTATCAGATCCCCATGGCAGGTAAAGGGGGGTTCTGTAGAGGAGTCTGGGCTGCTGTTTCACCACATGGTTGTGTTCTTGCTATGATCTCTGGGAGTCACGTTAAAAATGGAAGGAGGAGGGCCAGGCGCAGTGGCTGATGCCTGTACTTCCAGCACTTTGGGAGGCTAAGGCAGAAGGATCACTTAAGAGGCCAGGAGTTCGAGACCAGCCTGGGCAGCATAGCAAGACCCTCATCTCTACAAAAATAAAAAATAATTAACCAGGTGTGGTGGCGGTGCCTGCAGTCCCAGCGACTCAGAAGGCTGAGGCAGGAGAATTGCTTGAGCTCAGGAGTTTGAGGTCACAGTGAGCTATGATTGCACCATTGCCCTCCAGCCTGGGCAACAGAGTGAGACCTTGTCTCAAAAAAAAAAAAAAAAAAAGAAGGAACGAGGAGACTAAATGAGATTCCTAGATCTGTTTGATTTTGGTGAAGGGCCATTTGTTTTTTTTTTTAAAATACAACTCCTGATCATGTAAGCTAAAATTGTGTTGTGAAAGGCACTTTGTAAGATAACAAATCTCCTTTTGAAGAACTTAGAATGATTTCTTTTCCCTGAGCTTTAAAATGGGGAGTTGTGATTAAGCTGAAAGATTCACTTAAGCTGAATTTTTTAACATTTTTTAATGTTGAATACGCCCGTAACATTTTCTATTTGCAAGTAACCCTGAAATTAAATTTGGCTGTATGGTTATTATTTTAACTTGGGATCACTTTTCCCTGTCTTTCTCACATTCCGTGTCGTAGTTGTTGTAATTGCATTGTTTTGCAATTACAAAACATTAAAATTAAAAGAATACTGGCCGGGGGCAGTTGCTCACACCTGTAATCCCAGCACTTTGGGAGGCTGAGGTCAGAGGATCGCTTGAGGTCTGAAGTTCAAGACCAGCCTGGGCAACATACTGAGACCCTTGCCATTTTCTCTACAAAAGATCAAATAAACTTAGCCAGGTGTGGTGTCACACCTATAGTCCCAGGCCCTGGGGTGGGGCTGAAGGAGGAGGATCACTTGAGCCCAGGAGTTTGAGGCTGCAGTGAGCTATTATCATGCCACTGCACTCCAGCCTGGGCCACAGAGTGAGACTCTTTCTGAAAAATAAAAGGAGTACCTGTCACATGGCACTCAGTGGGTCAGCCCAGCCTGCAGTCAGGGTTTCCTTGTATCCTTCACACAGAAGATTAAGAGTCGGGCTCCAGCTGGTAGTTTAGCAAGAGCACCGCCTCTGGCCTGCCCACCCGGTGCTGTTGGACCAACCAGGAGCCTAATAACATTTGGCAGAGGTGGGGAGGAAGGAGCTGGTTCTCACAGACATTTAGGTCTTTGGCCTTCAGTGTTCTTTCCAGCTCCTTCCTTTTCCCTCATCAATGTTAGCATTAAAAGAATAGATTGTGTTAAGTGATGATCTTGAGTCGACTGCCCACTTGGCATGAAGGTGAGTGCTGGTGAATTGGGGGAAGGACAACATTTAGAACCTTTAGCTCTGTTCCTGTGGTGTAGGGCCAGTGAGAAGGCAGGTAGTCGGCTTCTACCTGGCAAGTTGTAAGAAAACAAATGCCAGGCATAGTCAAAATAACAGCCTGGGGGCCAACATCGACAGGAGGAATTCAGCAGTCCACGTGTCTCTGCAGTTCTAGGGAGTGTGGGCTGGTGGAGCATTTTCTGAGGTTAATGACTTCTGTGTTTCCTGCTGGGTGGTTAAGCTCCTGGCAGGCTTGGTGCATCTGTGTATGTTGCCCACCATGCGCTGCCACTGGGTGGGTGGGTGGGTGTGCATTCAGGAATTGAAAGGGCTGTTTGAAAGATGTAACCAGCGATTTTGGGAAGAGTCAGCCACCCTTTTCCCTTCTGCTTTTGGCCTGTTAGAGCAGTGGTTCTCACTCTGACTGCACATTGGGATCATCTAGGGCCTGCGTTCCCCACCCCTGGGCTGTGGCCTCGTACCAGTCCGTGGCCTGTTAGGAAACGGGCCATGCATCATCGCCTGAGCTCTACACACACATGCACCCCCGACTCGCCACCCCCAGTCCATGGAAAAATTGTCTTCTATGAACCTGGTCTCTGGTGCCAAAAAGGTTGGGGACTGCTGATGTAGGGAGCTTTTTTTTTTTTTTTGAAATAGGGTCTTACTCTGTCACCCAGGCTGGAGTGCAGTGGTACAATCATAGCTCACTGCAGCCTCCAACTGTTGGGCTCAAATGATCCTCCCACCTCAGCCTCCTGAATAGCTGGGACTACAGGTGAGAGACACCGTGCCTGGCTAATTTTTTAAATTTTTTATAGAGAGATCTCCCTATGTTGCACAGGCTGGTCTTGAACCCCTGGCCTCAAAGCAATCCTCCTGCTTCGCCTGCCCACGGATTACAGGTATGAGCCACTTCGCCCAGCCTAGGAGGGCTTTCAAAACTAAAGCTCTCACCTGAGAGCGTGCAAGTCAGTGTGCCGGGCAGCCAGAGCTGAGGGCGCTTGCTCAGTTCAGACCTTTACTCTTACGTCCAACACGAGACGGTTCTTTGCTAAAGCTTGTCTGACTGGCTATGTCCTGCCTTTGGGTGGTCTGTTCAGAATGACCACCTTTCCAACCCTCTGGTTGAAACCTGGCTTCTGGTTGTACCTGGGTAACTGGAACAGAACTGGCAATCGTGTAGCTTGTAGGGCTGCCCGTATGGCACAAGAATGGTGTAACAGGTTGTTAGAGGGCCCTGTCATGTGGCATCTGCTTCCCAGGTGAACTCTTTGTGTATGGATCTGCTCTGTGCTATGGATAATTGAGCTAATTATTTAGATAATGAAGCCACAAACCATTTTATTTGGAACATTCTCAGTGAATTATCTGGGCATTTGATTTTGAATCATCCAGGTAAATTTCTCAGTTCTTTGATGTGTGCGCATGAATGCTGATGAGTCATCTGTGGTTATTCGGAAACCAGACACCACTGCGAATGAAGCCTTGGCATGCTTTCTCCTTCTTGGGGAGATTTTCATGGATTGTTCTGGACTCCTTCCGCCCCGCATGTGTTATTAGTGAGACATGACACTAATTCCTTACTTAACTATTAATATAATCGAGTAAGCATTTACTGACGGCATTAAGGAGCATTGACTTTTGCATCTTAAGTGCTGGTATTTGCAGCATTTTCTGACCATATCATCACACTTGTGTTTTCTCAATTTGTAGGTCCTGCTGCTGTGACCAGCCAGTCTCCCATTCCATGCAAACTCTGTATCCTTTACAAAGGCGTTGGCACTGAGCACAAAAGGAAAAGTGCTGGCTCCTTCTCTACAGGGTGGTCCAACAGCCCCTCCCTAGGCAGCGTGCATTTACGCTCTGAGAGCCACCCAAGGGGAGCTTCCCTTACGTCTGGGGGCCTGGCATCTAGGGTGGCCCCAGCATGTGGGGGTAGGGGTGGATGCTAATCAAAGCTGGCTTTGCCTTTTGTTTTTATCTCTTCTTGGTTTAGAATTTCCTATAACGTGTAGATTCTTCATCCTGGATTGTCTTTCAACCTGACATCATCATCAGCGCAAGCCAAGGTAGGTCAGGTGGGGGACAGTTGTCATGTTAGGAAATAGTGCTTGTTGACCTTGGATTACAGTTGTAGCCAGTGACGTTTTCAAGGTGAATCTCAGAGATATGACCTCTCCCTTTAGCCTTGGGAATGGGGTTGTTTTTCACTGTACACTCTGTTGTCTACTATGTGTTCATTTTATCATGAGCATATGTTACTTTTTGTAATTAAAGCAGCAACTAAGAATGGCCATTGCCCCACCGTAAGCCCATTCTGAACAGCCAGGCTCCATGGCACAGTGTCTGCATTCTCTCCTCTGCCAGCGTTCCCATGGGTTACCTGTGCCCTTCTCTGTTCTCTGTGTGCCTGGGAGCTGCTGCTCCTCCTCACCTGGCTGGTGGAGCCTCCCTCAACCTGTCAGTTGTCTCTTCCTGGGTGATTACCTTGTATCTTTATTGGAGAACTTTCTACATTAGTCTTTAGTCATCTGTGTATTTTCCTGTCTTATCCTGGGATTTTCAAGGAGAATTCTAAGGAGAGAATTAGCCCTAAGCCATAGGCATCCACTGTGTATAACGAATTCACTTCTCTCTTATGCATCTGGAATGGTACTAGTTCTGTATCTGCCTTGAGAACTGAGAAAGTGATCACGCAGATTATTTTTTATGGAGCTCTCCATTCTCTTGCGGAACCCCAACTGAGAAAGGCCGCACCAGACTGTGCCTGCCAGGCAGGGTGGGCGTTCATTCAGTACATTCGTGGATGGGTACGTGGAGGAATTATGAAATCCACTGAAGCCTCTTACCTTTTGGCCTAATGAGCCAGTGCAGGAGAAACCAAAGTGCAGGACTGAAGTTGATGCCATATGGTAACTGCTTTTTCTACTTTAAAGTAGGAACTATTACATGTTAAAAGGGGGGACTAGGTGTGGGGAAGATACCATTCGGAATTAAGGACTTGTCACCCTCCATATTTAGGCAGATGCACCATCGATGCACCTCTGAATGCAGAGGCTGTTTGTTTTAAGGAGTCAGCCAAGTGTGCAGACATAGTCCTTCTGTCGTCAATGTTCCTGAATGTCCTGGCTCTGCTTTGCTTAGGAAGGAAAGCCATTAACCATACTTTGCAGTTCCTCCCTTCCCCCCATCTTCCTCACAAATGTTTAGGGAAACCACTTTTGGGGCTTTTGTTCTGATTTGCATCATACTGTTAAATTTGCTGCCTCTTAAAATCCAGGTTACCTCTGGAACCTCCAAGTGAAACTTGAGCCCATAGTAAAGCTCTTGCCGGATAAGGGACGATTGATGGATTTTCTTCTCCAGAGAAAGGAATGCAAGATGGTCATCCTGTCTGTCTGCTCACAGAGTAAGTAGAGGAATCTGTCCCCATTGCTCTGGTTCTAGTATTAGGCCTGTGCTGCCCAGTTTTATGGGGTAGGGGCGGGGGCCACATTTTTACACCTGTCTATAACCTGTAACCTCATTCGTTATGTGAAGGATGGATTATTTAACCCCCTAGAATGCCTGCTAAATATAAAAATGCCTTGCAGAGGCCAGGCGTGGTGGCTCACGCCTGTAACCTCAGCACTTTGGGAAGCCAAGGTGGGAGAATTGCCTGAGTCTAGGAGTTCAGGACCAGTCTGGGCAACGTAGTGAGACTTGTCTCTACAAAAAATAAAAATCAGCTGGGTGTTGGTGCCAGCTACTATGGAAGGTGAGGCAGGAGGATCGCTTGAGCCTAGGAGTTCCAGCATGGGTGACAGAGCAAGACTCAAAAAAAAAAAAAAAAAAAAAAAAAATAATACTTTTCTATTTAACTCAGTGGGTTTCTCCCTGCTTTTTATTTTCTTAATTTAATATATCAATCTTCTGACATTTCGCTGTTTTGAAAGTGAAGATTCTGTTTCTTAAACTTCACTTCAGGTGTTACCAGAGAAACGGACTCTGAAACTGCTGAAGAGCCACAACATCAACGTGAATTGGTACATGTACTGCCCCGAGAGTGCTGTCATTCTGCTGTCCACCACAGTCCTTGAGAATGTCCTGCAGCCTTTTTATTTTAGGGTAGGAGTAACCCTCCCCTTAAAACACTCCCTTCCCCCCCTCTTACCCTGTTCCTCTGACGTCCTAACCCGGCAAGCACCTTAGGGGCCAGTTTCTTCCAACCATAACCTCCCACCCGTGACCACTAGGGGGCGCACCGCACCACCGTGTGCGCCAAGAATGAGTCATGCTGTGGAGCCGGACACTGAGCAGAGGGCGTGGTGGGACGTTGGAAGGGATGGAAAGATGTCCTGTGCGACTGTCCTCATTGATTTTACGTGGGGAATGGTAAAACATCGAAGGGGTTTAGTAAACTTTTCCTCCCGCTGAACAGGCTGGCACCATGTCGAAGCTGCCCAAGTTTGAGATTGAATTACCAGCTGCGCCCAAGTCAACTAAACTCAGCCTTTCGGAGAGAGACATTGCGATGGCTACCATGTATGTCTGGCTTCGAGAGAGTTCCCTCTTGTGCTCGCTTTTGTGATACAAGGACTAGAAGGAGTGTGCTGAGTATGTTACAAGGACCATGGTGATGCTCTGTCCTTAGGGACAGGAACTCCTAGAACACATAACGAGGAACGCTCCCGGTCCCGTTTATGTAGCACCTACATTTTATGAATATAGAAAACTGTATTCTTGGCAGGTTCTTGGCATTCTTTTTGATTATACAAACTTTGCGGTCTTAGGGAAGTCTTTTTACCTTTCTAGGCTGATAAAATGAGATTAGCCAATTTATTTCTTAGGTATCTTAGTTTTAGATTTTCTTTTCCACTCTGAGTTGAAGCTTAACAAGGGTTTTTTTTTTAAAGCCAACTGATATTATAATTGCTCAAAATAAGAAAATAGGTTAAGTTTTTAATCTAACAAACATGGAACTGAATTACTTATATAGGAAGGTACGTTTTCATTTGGAAAAGCAGATAGCTCAGTTAATTTTTAAACTTTGTAATGAAAATTTTAAACACAGAAAAATAGAAACTAATACAAAGAACCCCCTATATCTCTGATTCAACAATTACCTCTGTTTTGCTTCAGAATTACTTCTGATTCTTCAGTGGCCTAAAACAGTGGTTTCCAAACTTTAAAAAAATTTTTTAGTAGTAGAATGCTTTTTCTTTTTTAAAAAAGGTGCTCTTCTGTGGCATCCCACTTGAGAAGGCAGATAAAGTGAGTGTGGTCCTGACTGAAGTGGAGATGGGACCCACTCCTCTGTCTTTGGTCCCCTCAGCCCTGGGGCAGGCCCAGCCCAGCGTTCACCACTGGGGAGATCATGTGCATGCAGGAACTGCTCACAGCAGCATTGATGAGATGGCACTTGAAAATGAATAGTGATTATATTTTCCTTTTATTAAGGAATATGTATGTATCATATAAAACTTGGAAAACAGGAAAAGAAAATACTTAGGTTATCACTCAGTGATAATTATATTAACAGCATGTATTTCTTTCCAGTCATTTCAGATTCTGTGCTTAGGTTTGTGGTTTTCTTTCAAAAGATTATGATCAGGCTGTGTTTAGTTTTGCCTTCTCCTTTCTACTTTATAAAGATAAGAGGCTTTGTTTGACTAATGGCACTTTGTAAACCTTTTCGTTGGCTGCAAAAAATTCCATTAAGTGAATATCTCATAATTTACTTAACTGTGGCCCCGTATAGAGTAGAGGAATTTTAAATGGCCATTTGTGACCTCGGTCTCTTTGCTCTCTCATTAGATACGGGCAGCTTTACGTTCTCTTCTTGAGGCATCATTCTCGGACCTCCAATAGCACAGGCGCGGAGGTGGTCCTGTATCATCTGCCACGGTACATGTAGTGCTTTCTTCCCTCTTCCTCTGATTTTAAAATGTGAACTAAAGCTTGTTGATCTATTTTTTTTTTCTTTTTATCGTCCTGCAGAGAAGGTGCCTGTAAGAAGATGCACATATTGAAGTTAAACAGGACGGGGAAGTTTGCCCTAAACGTGGTGGACAACCTTGTGGTCGTGCATCACCAGGACACAGAGGTGTGAGCTGTGTGTGTTTGAACACACACGCATCTACTCTGCATTTGAACACAGCAGGGTTGTTTAGAAGCCTTGTCAGAATTGGCCAGACATTCTGAACAAGGACTAGAAATTGCATTTTTATGCTAAAAGTTTTGGTCTTCCAGATGGAAGTGGGTTTGATATTCTAAGTGGTTGAGAAAAAGCGATTCCCTGTCAGTTAATTAAGGGTAATGAAAAACTATTTCAGAAAATAACACATGAGGAGATTTGACCTTTAGAACAGGTGGGAAGCCACTGTGTGCTGTGAGTACATGAGTTCTGTACTTTGTTTATGAGCATAGACGGCAGCGCGGATGATGATGGTCTTGGGGCTCTGGCCCAGGACAGCTGGAATGGGCTCTGCGTTTTCTAGGCCGTTAGCTGGGCCTCTGGTGCTAGAGAAGCCGCTTCCCTCCTAGACCTCCGTGGAGGGTGGTGACACTAAGTCTTTAACTAGCGAAGATGCTGCAAGTTAAAGTGAAAAAGATCTGCTTAAATCACTTGGAGCTTTTCAAAGGAATGTCATAAATGCAGGAAATATTTGTGGGGAGAAATAAAGGTATTATAAGAGAGCCATGGTGTTAATGGCAAATTCGCCTGTAGGGAGGGAACGCAAATGCGGACCGTGAAACTGACCTCAGCAGTGAGATGTGAAGTAATGAGAGACATGCCACACCATGATTTGTCTTGGCCCCACAGTCTTGTGTTTTCTCCCCCACAGACATCGGTCATATTTGACATTAAGTTGCGGGGCGAGTTTGACGGCGCCGTTACCTTCCACCACCCCGTGCTTCCGGCTCGATCGATCCAGCCCTATCAGATCCCCATGGCAGGTAAAGGGGGGTTCTGTAGAGGAGTCTGGGCTGCTGTTTCACCACATGGTTGTGTTCTTGCTATGATCTCTGGGAGTCACGTTAAAAATGGAAGGAGGAGGGCCAGGCGCAGTGGCTGATGCCTGTACTTCCAGCACTTTGGGAGGCTAAGGCAGAAGGATCACTTAAGAGGCCAGGAGTTCGAGACCAGCCTGGGCAGCATAGCAAGACCCTCATCTCTACAAAAATAAAAAATAATTAACCAGGTGTGGTGGCGGTGCCTGCAGTCCCAGCGACTCAGAAGGCTGAGGCAGGAGAATTGCTTGAGCTCAGGAGTTTGAGGTCACAGTGAGCTATGATTGCACCATTGCCCTCCAGCCTGGGCAACAGAGTGAGACCTTGTCTCAAAAAAAAAAAAAAAAAAAGAAGGAACGAGGAGACTAAATGAGATTCCTAGATCTGTTTGATTTTGGTGAAGGGCCATTTGTTTTTTTTTTTAAAATACAACTCCTGATCATGTAAGCTAAAATTGTGTTGTGAAAGGCACTTTGTAAGATAACAAATCTCCTTTTGAAGAACTTAGAATGATTTCTTTTCCCTGAGCTTTAAAATGGGGAGTTGTGATTAAGCTGAAAGATTCACTTAAGCTGAATTTTTTAACATTTTTTAATGTTGAATACGCCCGTAACATTTTCTATTTGCAAGTAACCCTGAAATTAAATTTGGCTGTATGGTTATTATTTTAACTTGGGATCACTTTTCCCTGTCTTTCTCACATTCCGTGTCGTAGTTGTTGTAATTGCATTGTTTTGCAATTACAAAACATTAAAATTAAAAGAATACTGGCCGGGGGCAGTTGCTCACACCTGTAATCCCAGCACTTTGGGAGGCTGAGGTCAGAGGATCGCTTGAGGTCTGAAGTTCAAGACCAGCCTGGGCAACATACTGAGACCCTTGCCATTTTCTCTACAAAAGATCAAATAAACTTAGCCAGGTGTGGTGTCACACCTATAGTCCCAGGCCCTGGGGTGGGGCTGAAGGAGGAGGATCACTTGAGCCCAGGAGTTTGAGGCTGCAGTGAGCTATTATCATGCCACTGCACTCCAGCCTGGGCCACAGAGTGAGACTCTTTCTGAAAAATAAAAGGAGTACCTGTCACATGGCACTCAGTGGGTCAGCCCAGCCTGCAGTCAGGGTTTCCTTGTATCCTTCACACAGAAGATTAAGAGTCGGGCTCCAGCTGGTAGTTTAGCAAGAGCACCGCCTCTGGCCTGCCCACCCGGTGCTGTTGGACCAACCAGGAGCCTAATAACATTTGGCAGAGGTGGGGAGGAAGGAGCTGGTTCTCACAGACATTTAGGTCTTTGGCCTTCAGTGTTCTTTCCAGCTCCTTCCTTTTCCCTCATCAATGTTAGCATTAAAAGAATAGATTGTGTTAAGTGATGATCTTGAGTCGACTGCCCACTTGGCATGAAGGTGAGTGCTGGTGAATTGGGGGAAGGACAACATTTAGAACCTTTAGCTCTGTTCCTGTGGTGTAGGGCCAGTGAGAAGGCAGGTAGTCGGCTTCTACCTGGCAAGTTGTAAGAAAACAAATGCCAGGCATAGTCAAAATAACAGCCTGGGGGCCAACATCGACAGGAGGAATTCAGCAGTCCACGTGTCTCTGCAGTTCTAGGGAGTGTGGGCTGGTGGAGCATTTTCTGAGGTTAATGACTTCTGTGTTTCCTGCTGGGTGGTTAAGCTCCTGGCAGGCTTGGTGCATCTGTGTATGTTGCCCACCATGCGCTGCCACTGGGTGGGTGGGTGGGTGTGCATTCAGGAATTGAAAGGGCTGTTTGAAAGATGTAACCAGCGATTTTGGGAAGAGTCAGCCACCCTTTTCCCTTCTGCTTTTGGCCTGTTAGAGCAGTGGTTCTCACTCTGACTGCACATTGGGATCATCTAGGGCCTGCGTTCCCCACCCCTGGGCTGTGGCCTCGTACCAGTCCGTGGCCTGTTAGGAAACGGGCCATGCATCATCGCCTGAGCTCTACACACACATGCACCCCCGACTCGCCACCCCCAGTCCATGGAAAAATTGTCTTCTATGAACCTGGTCTCTGGTGCCAAAAAGGTTGGGGACTGCTGATGTAGGGAGCTTTTTTTTTTTTTTTGAAATAGGGTCTTACTCTGTCACCCAGGCTGGAGTGCAGTGGTACAATCATAGCTCACTGCAGCCTCCAACTGTTGGGCTCAAATGATCCTCCCACCTCAGCCTCCTGAATAGCTGGGACTACAGGTGAGAGACACCGTGCCTGGCTAATTTTTTAAATTTTTTATAGAGAGATCTCCCTATGTTGCACAGGCTGGTCTTGAACCCCTGGCCTCAAAGCAATCCTCCTGCTTCGCCTGCCCACGGATTACAGGTATGAGCCACTTCGCCCAGCCTAGGAGGGCTTTCAAAACTAAAGCTCTCACCTGAGAGCGTGCAAGTCAGTGTGCCGGGCAGCCAGAGCTGAGGGCGCTTGCTCAGTTCAGACCTTTACTCTTACGTCCAACACGAGACGGTTCTTTGCTAAAGCTTGTCTGACTGGCTATGTCCTGCCTTTGGGTGGTCTGTTCAGAATGACCACCTTTCCAACCCTCTGGTTGAAACCTGGCTTCTGGTTGTACCTGGGTAACTGGAACAGAACTGGCAATCGTGTAGCTTGTAGGGCTGCCCGTATGGCACAAGAATGGTGTAACAGGTTGTTAGAGGGCCCTGTCATGTGGCATCTGCTTCCCAGGTGAACTCTTTGTGTATGGATCTGCTCTGTGCTATGGATAATTGAGCTAATTATTTAGATAATGAAGCCACAAACCATTTTATTTGGAACATTCTCAGTGAATTATCTGGGCATTTGATTTTGAATCATCCAGGTAAATTTCTCAGTTCTTTGATGTGTGCGCATGAATGCTGATGAGTCATCTGTGGTTATTCGGAAACCAGACACCACTGCGAATGAAGCCTTGGCATGCTTTCTCCTTCTTGGGGAGATTTTCATGGATTGTTCTGGACTCCTTCCGCCCCGCATGTGTTATTAGTGAGACATGACACTAATTCCTTACTTAACTATTAATATAATCGAGTAAGCATTTACTGACGGCATTAAGGAGCATTGACTTTTGCATCTTAAGTGCTGGTATTTGCAGCATTTTCTGACCATATCATCACACTTGTGTTTTCTCAATTTGTAGGTCCTGCTGCTGTGACCAGCCAGTCTCCCATTCCATGCAAACTCTGTATCCTTTACAAAGGCGTTGGCACTGAGCACAAAAGGAAAAGTGCTGGCTCCTTCTCTACAGGGTGGTCCAACAGCCCCTCCCTAGGCAGCGTGCATTTACGCTCTGAGAGCCACCCAAGGGGAGCTTCCCTTACGTCTGGGGGCCTGGCATCTAGGGTGGCCCCAGCATGTGGGGGTAGGGGTGGATGCTAATCAAAGCTGGCTTTGCCTTTTGTTTTTATCTCTTCTTGGTTTAGAATTTCCTATAACGTGTAGATTCTTCATCCTGGATTGTCTTTCAACCTGACATCATCATCAGCGCAAGCCAAGGTAGGTCAGGTGGGGGACAGTTGTCATGTTAGGAAATAGTGCTTGTTGACCTTGGATTACAGTTGTAGCCAGTGACGTTTTCAAGGTGAATCTCAGAGATATGACCTCTCCCTTTAGCCTTGGGAATGGGGTTGTTTTTCACTGTACACTCTGTTGTCTACTATGTGTTCATTTTATCATGAGCATATGTTACTTTTTGTAATTAAAGCAGCAACTAAGAATGGCCATTGCCCCACCGTAAGCCCATTCTGAACAGCCAGGCTCCATGGCACAGTGTCTGCATTCTCTCCTCTGCCAGCGTTCCCATGGGTTACCTGTGCCCTTCTCTGTTCTCTGTGTGCCTGGGAGCTGCTGCTCCTCCTCACCTGGCTGGTGGAGCCTCCCTCAACCTGTCAGTTGTCTCTTCCTGGGTGATTACCTTGTATCTTTATTGGAGAACTTTCTACATTAGTCTTTAGTCATCTGTGTATTTTCCTGTCTTATCCTGGGATTTTCAAGGAGAATTCTAAGGAGAGAATTAGCCCTAAGCCATAGGCATCCACTGTGTATAACGAATTCACTTCTCTCTTATGCATCTGGAATGGTACTAGTTCTGTATCTGCCTTGAGAACTGAGAAAGTGATCACGCAGATTATTTTTTATGGAGCTCTCCATTCTCTTGCGGAACCCCAACTGAGAAAGGCCGCACCAGACTGTGCCTGCCAGGCAGGGTGGGCGTTCATTCAGTACATTCGTGGATGGGTACGTGGAGGAATTATGAAATCCACTGAAGCCTCTTACCTTTTGGCCTAATGAGCCAGTGCAGGAGAAACCAAAGTGCAGGACTGAAGTTGATGCCATATGGTAACTGCTTTTTCTACTTTAAAGTAGGAACTATTACATGTTAAAAGGGGGGACTAGGTGTGGGGAAGATACCATTCGGAATTAAGGACTTGTCACCCTCCATATTTAGGCAGATGCACCATCGATGCACCTCTGAATGCAGAGGCTGTTTGTTTTAAGGAGTCAGCCAAGTGTGCAGACATAGTCCTTCTGTCGTCAATGTTCCTGAATGTCCTGGCTCTGCTTTGCTTAGGAAGGAAAGCCATTAACCATACTTTGCAGTTCCTCCCTTCCCCCCATCTTCCTCACAAATGTTTAGGGAAACCACTTTTGGGGCTTTTGTTCTGATTTGCATCATACTGTTAAATTTGCTGCCTCTTAAAATCCAGGTTACCTCTGGAACCTCCAAGTGAAACTTGAGCCCATAGTAAAGCTCTTGCCGGATAAGGGACGATTGATGGATTTTCTTCTCCAGAGAAAGGAATGCAAGATGGTCATCCTGTCTGTCTGCTCACAGAGTAAGTAGAGGAATCTGTCCCCATTGCTCTGGTTCTAGTATTAGGCCTGTGCTGCCCAGTTTTATGGGGTAGGGGCGGGGGCCACATTTTTACACCTGTCTATAACCTGTAACCTCATTCGTTATGTGAAGGATGGATTATTTAACCCCCTAGAATGCCTGCTAAATATAAAAATGCCTTGCAGAGGCCAGGCGTGGTGGCTCACGCCTGTAACCTCAGCACTTTGGGAAGCCAAGGTGGGAGAATTGCCTGAGTCTAGGAGTTCAGGACCAGTCTGGGCAACGTAGTGAGACTTGTCTCTACAAAAAATAAAAATCAGCTGGGTGTTGGTGCCAGCTACTATGGAAGGTGAGGCAGGAGGATCGCTTGAGCCTAGGAGTTCCAGCATGGGTGACAGAGCAAGACTCAAAAAAAAAAAGAAGACTTCTAGAGACATCAGTAGACTATTAAATAGTTGGTTCTAGGTGAAAGCAGACCTAAACGTGGGCACACATGAGGGTAGTGGGCCACCATCCCTGGCTTTTAAAACAAACATCTTCCAGAATCCGAGTCTCTCGTTGCATATATGTCTATTTTAAGAATCTAAGAGTTTCCTACTGATACCTGCCACATCTGTGTTTTTTAATAGTAACCACAAAGGGGCTGTGAGTGATTTCCAGGGGTCAGGCCTTTAACACACTAACTGCCATGTGAATTGTATTTAACTCATGCTAGTTTTGAGCCCAGGGCCTCATAAAGCATCTGTAACTCACATGTCTCTTCACCTTGGTTGCTGCGTGAACTATTTTTCAAGTTGCATATAACTCAAGCACAGAAAATAATAAAAAATAACAAATTTTTCATTAAGTTAGAAAGGATCATTTTGTTTTCTAAGTTTTTATTCTATTTTCGTAATAAAACACTGTGGCCCCAAGGAAAAAATGTTTCTTTCTAGTGTGGCAGTCAGTTAAAATATAACATTTATTTAAATGCCCTGTAAAGGTACGTTTGTGTTGTAACCCTTTGAGACTAGCGTCATTGTTATCGTAGCAATGTGTCGAAATTCTGAAGATTACACAAAGGCGTCTGATCTGTGTGATTGCTGTGTCCTTTCCAGTGTTAAGTGAGTCAGACAGAGCAACGCTGCCTGTGATAGCCACTGTTTTTGATAAACTCAACCATGAGTATAAGAAGTACTTGGATGCCGAGCAGAGTTACACAATGGTAAGTTATGCGGACTGTGATGAAGGACTCCTCCTCTCCCTCTGCCCTCCCCGATATATGCTAAGTCATTATAATGCAAACTTATCATAGAAGAACATCGGTCACTGAGACTTGCTGCGTGCCAGGGCAGGGTGGCGGGTAAATTAACAGTTCCTGCCTCCTGTGAGCCTCAGGCTGCATCTCACTTAATGCTGTCAGTTTTTGTTTTCAGTCTGTGTTGGATCTTACACGTTGATCCTTGGTTTACCTGTGTTGTGTAGATGAGAAAATCAGTCTCAGCTTTGCATTGCTTTATATGCCTTTCTGTGAGCCAGAGCCTGGACTTAGTAAATTATAAATATTAGTAAATATTTTTTGTGATTAGGAAATTAGAAATTTCTATTTGCCACACCTTCTTCCTTTCCTTTTAAGGGTGTAATATCTCTAAAAATAAGACTTTTCCTAGAATTTGGTCAGTATCCTATTAAGACAGTGATTTAATATTAGCACCGTGCTTGTCATTTAGTAGGCATCAGATGTTTGCAGTGAAGGGCTGGAAAAAATCAATATGGCTTATTATACCGGCCTCTTGTATTTATTATTAGTACATCATATCTTTTTTTTTTTCTTTTTTTCTTCTATTGCCTTGTACAGTAGAAGTCTTGAGTACATCATATCTTAAACTAGAAATAAGGAAAGTTTAGGACAAGTAGAATGAATTATATCACTTCAGGGATCTGATTAATCCTAAAGCAAAAATGGAAGTGGTTTTAAACAGCAAAGAACCCAGCACTGCCCTCCCCTTTAGCTGTTCCAGGACGAGAGGTCTGCAGCAGGCTACTGATGAGGGGTGATTGCCTGGACAGTGTGTCCATCCTGTCCTCCGTCAGACACGAGGGATGGCCGAACCCATCTAGACCCCACTTTTGGTCTTGCTGCTGTCCGGCGCTGTGGGAATCAGTTCTGATCCCAAATGGCAGTTTCCACGCTTTCCCACACTGTCTGCTGGGCTGCAGAAACCCTTGCTGCTCGAGCGTGGGCCATTGAGCAGCGACGGGCTGCACCTGGAGTTGCTTAGAAAGGCGGGTTCTCAGGCCACACCCCACAGCTACTGCAGAATCTGCGTGGATCTAGACTGCTCTTAAACATTGGTAAAATAGTCAAGGCCTCTCACAGAGCTCTGCTGTTCAGTGATGCTTGGGGAGCTGTGGCTTATAAAAGTCCCGATAGCGATGCATTGCACAAGCCGGTCATTTATCGTGGGGTCAGGGCTTCCTAAAACAAGGATGCAGCAAGCCTTTTTGTTTTTACTAGATAACAAATGCCACATAGGCCAGGATTAAGAAAATTAGGGAGTTAAATTATAAGAGGTTAAAGTGTGACTTTTTTAGTTCCATCCACCGTGAACATTGGACTATTTTCAATACGACCAACTGTGACTTCCTGGACTGCTCCCCAGCCAGCACAGGAAAAACAGTTTTATCTGAGTTGTCAAATAAGTGTCTTCTGTTCACATCTGAGGCCTACATCTAGGAAGTCAGTCTTCTGGATGAGACATAAACGGCACCATTCCTCTACAAGAGGACTAAGATCATGTGTGGCGTCCCGTTCCAGGCCGCGGAAGCTGGGCAGAGCCGGAGCAACCCGCTCCTCAGGAGGCCGGTGCGGACCCAGGCGGTGCTGGACCAGTCTGACGTGTACACCCACGTGCTGTCCGCCTTTGTGGAAAAGAAGGTGGGCAGCCGCTCCTGCCCCTCTGGACTGAGTGTGCTCGAAACAAGGGAGTTGAGGAGAATTAGGAGACCTCATAATGTGGTTAGAAGCACTGGGTGAGGACTTGGCTGGCACTGGTACTTTGGCTTCTAATACTCGGGTCTAAAACACAGTCATTGATGGGGCCGGAGAAATTCTGGGGGGATTTGTGCAAAACCAGCGAAACATTAACACTGGGCCATTTCAACGTGGGAACAAGGGAGGGGGCAGATAAACGAGGAGTTACGTGCAGCCCCTTTTGCAACTCTGATATTTATAAAACTACTACTATTCTCTGTAGGAGATGCCTCATAAATTTGTGATAGCTGTGCTGATGGAATATATTCGCTCTCTCAACCAGTTTCAGATTGCAGTACAGGTAGGTACCTTGAAAGCAGTTTTTGTCACCCCAAGTTAGAGGAACAGGAATTTTTCTTTTTAATAAAAGTGCTGTCAGTTGATCTTAGATGCTTCTTTCCTATGCTAAAAGGGTCTGCATACCTGACTCAGAATTTTGAGTGGCTTTCCTACATTCCCTAATGATCTCATTAGTTGGAATGAGAAGTGTAATGAGTTCGGTTCTCTTACCTGCACAATGAAACCACTTCTTGCAATAACCGAAACTTCTGCCCGTCAGTTAGAATAGCTACAGTCCTCAGTTACCCTCTTGTCTGTTGTGGAGCGATTTGGAAATGTCCTTTGCTTTCGTCCTCAGCACTACTTACATGAACTTGTTATCAAAACGCTTGTCCAGCACAACCTCTTCTATATGCTGCATCAGTTCCTGCAGTACCACGTCCTCAGTGACTCCAAACCTTTGGTACGTATTTGCCAGATTTTTTACTTTTGTTGTGATTAAAAACTTAATTTTAACCTTCCAGCTGAAGCTGGTCTGAACATCTCTGTTTCAGGCTTGTCTGCTGTTATCCCTGGAGAGTTTCTATCCTCCTGCTCATCAGCTGTCTCTGGATATGCTGAAGGTAACTCTGCTAACAGTTTTCGGCTCCATAAACTTCTGTTCCTGTTGCTCACGTTTACCTGGACTCTCTCCCTTACTTCTAGCGACTTTCGACAGCAAATGATGAAATAGTAGAAGTTCTTCTTTCCAAACACCAAGTGTTAGCTGCCTTAAGGTTCATCCGGGGCATTGGTGGCCACGATAATATTTCTGCACGAAAATTTCTAGATGCTGCGAAGCAGACTGAAGACAACATGCTTTTCTATACTATATTCCGGTTTTTTGAACAGCGAAACCAGCGTTTGCGAGGGAGCCCTAATTTCACACCAGGTTAGAGTATGGTACGAATGAAAAAACCTGGGGTAACTGCAGACTCAGAATAGTAGCAAGCACAGTGGCAGCTGGCAGGCAAAGACGACTTCTGGGGTAGCTTTTTTGTGAACAACAAAATTTCCTAACAGCCCACCTAGCCCTTGCCCGCTGTTTGTAGTAGAGTGAATTCAGTTATGCCGACGGAGTCTGGATTATGCTGTGGAGGTGCGTTTGGGGTCGAGAGACATGCAGGACCCAGTTCAGGCAGTCTGGACACAGCCTGTGTCTGACAGCTGATCTTGGAATATCCCTTTTGAAGAGTCAGGAGTAAGAAAGCAAATGGTGGCTGAGGGTTTTAAGTGACCTGGGGCTTATTAAAGTAACAGTTCTGTCTCAGGCAGGAAATACTAGCTATTCTCATTGCCAAAGAGTTATAAAATCTATGGTATCTTTTGCTTTTGGATGGGGAAGGAACAGAACTCTTTAATCAAACTCAAGTTTGACTCTGTTTTAGGTCTGCCAGCTTTTCCTAGCTCAATCAGTACATGTACAAGGTGGCACTTAGTTACCATAATGACAGGTCAGCATCTCTCCCATTTAGCTTTTCTACTTGTGTCTCAAAGCGGATGGCGATTTGCCGGGGGTTGTGAAGGTATATCAGTTTTGCTACAGAAAGGGCAGCCCAAAGCTTAGGAAAACAGTACTTTATTGAAGTTAAACCCAGGACACCTGTGAGCTGTATTCTCGTTTTCTTTTCATGCCACATCTAAGTGGTGAGTAAATCTGTTTTCCTTTACAGGCGAACACTGTGAGGAACATGTTGCTTTTTTCAAGCAGGTTTTTGGAGACCAAGCTCTAATGAGGCCTACACCCTTCTGAAATCACTTGCTAGTTTTTTTAAATATAAAAATGTGTACAAAGTTAATTTATTGCATTAATAAAGCTCTTTAAACTACAAAATGTTATAGTAAGTGTATCTACAATGTCCTCAAATGTCACTCCTAAAAAAGGAGACAGTATATGATTGGCCTTTAAGAAGTGTCGGTGAGCAGATCACAGGCAGCCATCCTAGCGTCACACTGCACTAGCCGAAGAATGAGGTTTCTTTCTTTCCTGAAGCAGCTGGGGGAGGTTTAGTGTCCCTTGGTTGCCTTCAGATGTAGTAGTGCCGCACCAGTCACACATGCATTCCTGAGTTCAGAAGCGCTCCGCCGAAGCTGCTGCTGTCAGCCTGATGTCTGGGAACGTCGGTGCTCGACCTCACCTTGACGACGCAGCCACCATCCAGTGGTAAACTGACCCTTAGACACAGTTCAAAGTCACCAAACCCCGTGAGAGGGCTAGAAATTGAGGAGTCGTTCTCGCTCTGTGCCTCTGTACCGGTCTTCAGTGGCACGACTTTTGGCTTTATTTATTGACGGTCCTATGAGAGAGAAGAAGAATTAGGTCCCCCAGAGATGAAAGAAGCCCCTCATTTTCTAAATCTTCCATTTCAGTGCTTCGACTTAGTTACAAACCTATAAATCAAGTAAATCAGTACTGTTCTCCTTTCGACCGTGGGTCATTTGTGCAAGCTGAAGTAGAAAGATCATAAGGATGGTCTCAAAGCAAGAGGCAAGTAGCAGAGGCAGCGTTTTGCTAAAACAGTAGTGCAGGAAACACAGCTGCTCCCCAGCGGGGCTGGCGTGTGACCCGGTGTCGACGTGCTCATTCTCCCGGCAGCAGGGAGGGGCACCAGGCCCGCCAGCGCCCAGATTCACTCCAGGGCTGACTTCAGGCCTTTGTGAAGCAGACACATCAGCCTCCAGAAAAAACATTAGCAATCTGCTAATGAAGTAGTTCGGACAATCATGAAGCCCCTGGATAGGATTTTTCTTCTTAGAAATATTTAACTTGGTATCATTTATCAAATGCCCATTAGCACAAGTGCAAATACTTTAAAACGATGCCTCACGGTATGACTTTCTTCTAGCATCATGCTTCTTCCGTGCCACCCTTTTAAAATGAGAACTCTTACCTATGTAACTGAGTAAGACGGGGAGAAATACTAAGCCATGGGTGGCTCCCAGTAACACCATAGCTAAATACATCCTGAAGTAAAATATCTGGAAGATTTGAGATTTGGCAAAGGCCAACACCATGATCCCACCAAACTTTGTAAGTGTGATTCCACTGAATACCTAAAAGAAGAGATACGGTGTTAGAAACCACTTTTATCAACCTATAATGGAATACTTCCTCATGCAGGGATTTCTTAATATTCAAGGTGCAAAGTAATGAGGTACTGAACCCCGGCTTTCAGAGTTACTGAGAAGGAACACTACATTCCACCCCAAATTGTTTTATTTGCTACTGTATAGGGGCGGGGGAGGTATTATAAGGGTAAAAGCTGTGTATTTTGCATAGACACCAGTATTGTCTCTAAACTGAAATAACATATTTAAGTATCAAAAACTGTCACAAGACAAAGTTTCGGTTCTCATTCTCACACTATTCTGTGTGGTGACTAAAGGCCAACCAGGATACACAGCTGAACGGACAAGGCTCTCCAGACACCAGCCACAAATCGCACCCTGGGTTCTGGAACCGGGGCGCTCCCTTGCTTTCAACACATGGCGCTGGCCTGTGTTCTATTAATAAATGGACAAAACTTTCAGCTCCCTCAAGTCTAACTTTTCTGTTGTTTTCCTACTTCAACCACACTGCCACCTACAAAGCAGTCACACCAACAGGTGTGTTCTGCAGAGTGTCAGCTCCGTACAAGACGTGGCTACTCCAGGCATTGCCTGAAAGCTTGTCATCCTCAGGTGCTGTTTCCCAGTAAGGGACTGAAATTCTGCAGTCACCGAGCGGGCACTTGCCGTTTGGTTTCTGCCCACGTGCCCTGCTCGGGATACTCACGGAGCTGCCCATGTGGGCGAGCGCCTCCTCCGCTCGGGCCACGCGGCTTCCTTTCGTGCTCACTGTGAACGCTCTGGTGATGTGGCTGCAGAACTCCACGGAGATGCCACAGCTCTGAAATAAAGTGCTTCCTTGAGGAGGTTTCTCTTCTGCTGAAAATCCTAAGCAGCCACCCCTCTCCCAGGATGAGGGGTCACCAGGCACCCTGGTGCTGGAGGAGCCCCGAGCATCCCCTCTGACTCACAATATGAGGCCCCATCACACCAACCTAAGTTGCACCAGGAAACTTTTGGGACCCTCTAGGCAGAGCCCAAGGCTCCTGTTTTCCATGGCGCATTTGCTTTTATCAGGGGAAGCTGTTAAAACCCTTTAAGGTCACCCCTTCTCCACTGAGCCAGCATACTGTCATGACTTCTTTACTTGGGGCCTCACTACCATGCCACCTGAAGCAGGGTTCATGTCTGAAAGGACAGCTGCACTGTCTGTATTTTCCATGAATACCTTCTTGCATACTCACAGCTTCAAGAATTTTTTTTTTTTTTAAGATAGAGTCTCGCTCTGTTGCCTGGGCTAGAGTGCGTCAGCCTAGCTCACAGCAACCTCAGACTCCTGGGCTCAAGCGATCCTCCTGCCTCAGCCTCCCAAGGAGCTGGGACTATGGACATGTACCACTATGCCTGGCTAAGTTTTTTAGTAGAGATGGGGTCTCTCTCTTGCTCAGGCTGGTCTCAAACTCCCGACCTCAAGCAATCCTCCCGCCTTGGCCTCCCAGAGTGCTAGGTTTATAGATGTGAGCCACCGTGCCCAGCCAAGACTGACTATTGAAAAGCAGCTGGCAACCTTAGGGGAGGCACTGGTCACAGTCCCATGGGGGGGGGGTTGGTTTACAATTTTCTAAATAAAAATTAACATCTTGTTGTCAATAGGCTACCTGCTTTTGCAATCCCTTCAGAATAACGAATTACAGGCAGAATACCTCGGCCATGAAATCACATTTCCGTTGTTCAGGTCTCACTGCCATGCCCCCAGAAGCATATGAACCCCACTAATACAGATACAAGGAACAAGAAAAGAAACTGAACAGAAATTATCCTTAAGGTACTTTTGTTCCCAGATGTCCCCTCAATACTTCCTTCCATGCCCTGTCCTGACTCCATCTATCGCTTGTCCCACCTCTCTGTGCGCCAAGAGCCAGACTTGGTATTTTACTCCCATTTTAGGGTTTATGTGGAATCCAAGAAACAATTCACTTAGGTGACACAGGCGTGAGGGACAACTGGAGAGTGGACGAGGACTCACCATCACCAGGTTGACCAAGGACACTGCGTTCAGATTGATGCCCCAGAGCCACATAACTCCGAACATGTTGACCAAGACCATGGCGATGGTGGCACACATGATGACTGCGGACCACAGCTCGCAGCCCAGGAGAACCGTGGCCACCAGAAATACTGCTCCCAGGGACACGCCGAGGTTGAAGATTGTGTCGTCAATGATGGTCAGGTACTGTTCGTAGAAGACATAAAACACACTGGAGAGGAGGGGGAGACCCCGTTAAAGCTCGCTCTCACTCCTGGGACCCCACATTCATCCTGCCGCTGCTGCGAGCTGTGACTACCCTGAGAGCCAGCCCTTGCAGAAAACCTCCAGGGCTGTTTGCAAGACTCATCTAAAGTAATAAAACTGGATCTCTGATGGCCACTGAACACCCAAAGAAGGGCCTAATGATGATCCAAAATATGTATTTTATAAAGTTTCTGCTTGTTGAGTCCAATCTATGCTACTTTATACAGACATTTACAGACAGTATTCCACAGCACTTAGGTCAAGTGGGGTCTGTGCGTGGCCTGGGGAGAAAATGCTTTTTATTTATTTTTTGGCAAAGTTAACCAGTTCTTCCCAGGAATTAGGACACGTACTCTGAGAACTTCTTTTAAAGGAAAACAGGCTGTCTTGTCTTAAGTGAGATCATGGTGTTGGAGGAAAACAAAAAAAATCACTGTTTCTTCTACTTTTCTATGGTTTCCAAATTCAGTATTTCACACGTAATACTTTTCTTGCCAGGAAAAAAAAGCCCAATGTGAAAAAGAGAAGTTTACATAAAAGCACTGTCTCAATCAGTGGCTGGGTATACTGGTCAGTTGCTGGCCAAGAACGTCGCCTGGCCCGTCTGTGCAGCCTGCGCTCCACGTGCCCTGCCCTGTGCTACCGTACAGCGTGTGGCCTGCAGGCCATGAGGAAGCACAGACGCCAAGGTCTGTGTCTCCTGCCCTCATACCTCGGCAGGGGCTCAAGATTCCGCCCCCCATGCCATTGCCCTCGATATGCTTCACCTGCACTCAGGACCCCAGGCGTCAGAGCCAAAGCCTGGCAGTGGCACCCACAGGGGAGCGCCAGGCTTTACCTGTACGGGAAGACGCGGTAACTGCTGCCGTTGATGCCCATGGTTTCGGTGATGTTACTGGCTATGAGTCGGGCTTTTTTCATAGCGTCAATAAAGTCGGCAGGGGTCTGAAGCACGGTGTGGTAGGTCATGAAGTATGTGGCTCCGACCCCAGTGTCGTTGCCGAGGATGTTAACTGCCGAGCTGTAAGCAGCATGTCCCCTGAGAGAAGAGTCAGTGGGTGTCAGAAAGGCCACCCCTTGCAAAGTACTGGCAGAATCTGCGCGTGCGAGGCTGAGCGGAATCACTGAGCCTGGGCCCAGGTCAGGGCTGGCTGTACATTGGGGGACGGAGGAGGCCTCCTGACAGGCACGGGGAAGGTTTAGCTTATTCTCTCCCAGCCTGGCTTTTCATTATTGCTTTGGTTTCTGCGGTGCACAGCTGCTGTTGTTTCTCTGTGTGATTTGGCTTGTAATCAAACACAGTTTATTCAGTCCTGTTGTGTAACAGGAAACAAGGAGGGTAAAGGGCCCTGGAGTCAATTTCAGCCCTGTGACCCTGGGCAAAGTTACCTAATTTGAGCTTCATCTCCTCTTTTGCACATGGGTACACGACCACGACTCACAGGCCGTGTGATAAATGACATAATGTCACTGAGGTGCCTGGCACGGCACTGCACATGGGAGGCTCCCTGAAATGGTGGCTGCTGCCTTCATAAAAACAGAAGCCCTTCAATTTGTTTCATGTAGGTCAGAGAATTTAGTCTGCAAGCAAACCGAGCTGCAAGACTCATTTCTATTTTATTTTTAGAAGGAGTTGGCCCACAGTACTGAGTACGGATCTCAAAACACAGACATGATGTATACGATTAACTGATGTGACTCATTTATATTCTTGTGTAAACAGTTATGTCCAGGGTTTACCTAACATACATGCGGATACTCATCTTTCGCCTACAAAAGCTTCCAAATCAATCCCTGGAGACTTCTAGTCATCTTCACTATTTCCGGGACAGATGTCTGGCTTCTGTGGGGACTGGCTGTCTGCCTGGACAGGGGAGTTAGACAGCCCACAACCTCACACAGGGACAGGCTGGCAAGGAGCAGGGGGGCTAAACAATGCAACCTTCCTCTAGGATAGCATTACCAAAGGAAGACACCGTCCCACGTGCCATCGGCGCAACTGAACAGACCGAAGTTCTTCCGTGTTCTGAACCACCAGTGTGTTCGTCCTCCCCTCAGCCCCCCTAGTGACGTGTGCAGGAATCCACGTCCATTCACGCACCCAGGGGGCCAGGACACAGAGAGATGCACAAGGGGAGAATATCCAGGCTAGGACGGACTCAGCTGAAACCTGTGAGGTGTTTTCTTTTGGTTTCTACTTTCGCAAAAGGACTGCCTGGGTCAGGGTGGGGTGGGGCGACAGAAAAGGACTTTCCTGTGCAACTATTTTCACCCCAGTCCTCCCCTAGGTTTCCACAGCAAATGAAAGCTGAAGTGGGCACTTATCTGAAACGGCTCCCCAGCACCTACCCTTTGCCACACTTGGGGTTGGGGTTATCAGAAAGGAACATGGGCAGGAATCTCATGAAGTCTCCACCCTGAGGCCTCTGTTTGCCCTCCGGAGTCAGAGGCCTGCAGCGGATGCAGTCGGGGTCAACCACTAGCAGAAACGCGGACAGAGGGACAATCGTTAGAAGAATGGTCACTACCTTTTTTTCTTTTTCTTTAACCAATTTACTCTTGAGTACCAGTAGAATTTTTTAAGAAACATTTAACAATACTGATAATGAGGGAAATTACTTTCCTCAATCTTTCCCCTTACTCAAAAGCTTCGGCCAGGCCGGGCGCGGTGGCTCACGCGTGTAATCCTAGCTCTCTGGGAGGCCGAGACGGGTGGACTGTTTGAGCTCAGGAGTTCGAAACCAGCCTGAGCAAGAGCGAGACCCCGTCTCTACTAAAAATAGAAAGAAATTAATTGGACAACTAAAAATATATAGAAAAAACTAGCCGGGCATGGTGGCACATGCCTGTAGTCCCAGCTACTCGGGAGGCTGAGGCAGGAGGATCGCTTGAGCCCAGGAGTCTGAGGTTGCTGTGAGCTAGGATGACGCCACGGCACTCTAGCCAGGGCAACAGAGTGAGACTCTGTCTCAAAAAAAAAAAAAAAAGCTTTGGCCACATGTAACTTCCATAGTTTAGTAAATTTGAAATATCGATTTCATCTTAAGGCAGACTATACAACATTTTCTTCCCTCAAGCAGATTTCCTGAGAGGCAACTGGTGTAGTCACGATAGGATGAGAGACCAGAGTCCCCAGTCATGGACCTTGTTCAGCCTGCAGCCCCGAATGGGGCCCCGAGACAGAAACGTGACATATCTCAGTGTGAATGACAGAGGAAAGGGACGACGACAAAGGGAATGAGACCCAGCTCTGGCCTATGACTAGGTATAAATTGCAAAATGCAAATGATTTTTAAATGATAATGTTAACGTTTTTCAGAAAAAAGGGAAAGATCTGGATGAAGAGATGGAAGTACCTGAAGCATTGCAGAACTGGCCACTGGTATTGTAGACCCTACAGCAAGTAGACAGTGGCCTCACCCAGTCGAAATAATCGTCGATCCAGGACGAGGGGGCAAAGCCTATTCGGGTACTAGAGAGGAGAGAAAGAATTACTGCCTTACTCACGGGGAGGAACTGTTTAGATTCAGTACTTCTCCTTAAAACCTAACTTCCTTTTCTATGTTTGTATTGCTACCAGGCAAAAGAAAAACTATGTTAGCACTTAATGAAAAAAACCTTCAAGTATTAAGTGGTACATTAGTCCTTTAAGAGGTTTTGCTCACGTAAAGCTACATTGAACATACATTTTGAACAAAAATAACTTCTCCAAGAAAGTCTGTTTTCAGGGAGACATTTCAAGCTGACTCCCAGGCCGAGAGCCCTTCTGGCTGCCTGGGCCGAAGTGCGGGACGACGGGGTAGTACTGACTAGTTGTCCAGCTGCGCCGCGTTAAATATCTGCTGCACCAGGGAGTCGTTGTTGCAGCCCACGCCGCCGCACACCATGTTCTGCCCCTTTGGAGAAGTATAGTCGTGCCCTTCCTCCAGGACGAAGTACACAGGTGGACCCGCATGCAGGTACTGACTGAGGGATTTGAGATAATCCACCACGTAGGAGTCCTGAAAGAAAGATGGAAGAGCAGGAGAAAGGATGAACGCTCTGACAGTCAGCAGGCCAGAGGAGGGTCACTAAGAACAAGGAAGACACTGCTGGGAGGCTCCTGGCCAAGATGCCCTAGCTCGGACTCTGACTCCTGACATAGCCAGCCTTCCCCGCGCCCTAGGGTGCTTCTCCTGCTAGTCCCACGATCAGGAGGAAACGTCATGAGACTGGCTGCTTATGCTCTGTGGCTCTGCCCCAGAGGGTCTGAGTATCCAGAATGCCAAGGTGACCCACATTGACATAGCTTTGGGGCAGTTCCCATAACACCGGAGAACCTGTCACCATCTGCATTTAGAGGCTTTAGCTCGAAACACCTGCATGCATGCTTTGAAAAATTTATTCATTAACAGTTCAACAAGTTAAAATTAAAAAGAAAGCATCTTACGTCTGGCATTGAAAGATGCTGATCCAATCCAATTTCCACTTTGTTCAGGACTGCGATACTGAATGACAGAACACCCACAAAAACTGCTATCTGGAATGAAAGTGAATTATAAGACAGTGATTACCTATTGTAATAATGAGCTTAAAAACAGAAATAAATTCTTAAACACAAAAAGCAGGAGTTTTCGAAACTGAAAAGCATGTTTAAATGACATGGTAAGACAACAGAAAGTATGGGGCAGTGGCTGAGATCACAGTATCCAGAGTTCAAGTTCCTGGGTTCAAATCCTGACTCTGCCACTTAGGAGCTGAGTGAGTTTGGGCAGGCAAGTCATTTCACCTCTCTTAGTTTCTATTTCCTCATGAGTGAACCGGGAAAAATAAAAGACTGATTGCTAGAAACTAATTTACATTCTTTTAGAGAAGTGATGAGTTATCACTGATCACTGTTGGCTACGTTGGTACAGAAGCTATAAAAAGCTCCCTCAGTTGCTGGGGACGAGGCTTGGGGGGAGGTGGGTGATTAGCACAAAGGAGCTGTGTGCGCTGATGGGACAGTTCTGTGCCTCGATTGCAGTGGTGGTTACAGGAATCCACGCACATGATAAAATGACACAGAACTCACATACACGCACGCAGTGCCAATGTCAAATGCCTGGACCTGATATTGTGCTACTAAGATGTACCATTGGAAGAATCTGAGTGAAGGCTGCCTGTGTCCTCCCTGCGCTACCTTGGACACTTTCTGTGAATCTAATTATTTTAAAATAAAAACTTAAACTCTTATAGTGGCTGATAAAAACTGGCTAGAAAAATACTTTATCTATTGTTATGTATCTGCTTTTGCATTTTTGTATATATATTTAACGTGTCAGAGTCTCCTTCTCAAGCTGTCTGATTTCTTAGAAGGCATGTGACAGTCTGTTGTGGGGAAAAGAAAGAGAAGAACCGCAGATAAGCACGTACCACAATCGGCCGCATCCACTCCTTCAGCAGAAGTGGGGAATAGGAGTGTTTGAAGAAGCGAAACAAACAGCTCTCTGAGGCCTGCACGCCTGTTCCATCCTCAGCGCCCCTGACACAGCAGAGGATGTCTAGTCGATTTTTCTGAAGGGAAAAAGAGGAACAAAGGTCATAGAAAATACCCTCTGGCTGCTTCATCTAGATTCGAGACTCAAACAGATTACAGTCCTGGTAACAACTTACCTCTTGTCGTTTAATGTCTAACCCCAAGAGACTCACAAAACAGGTAATCTGCAGGAGGAAGTCAATGAAGACGGCCAGTCCCGCAAACAGAGAGAAAGTGTGCACGGCTGGCATCATGGACAGTGCTCCTGCCAGGGCGAGAAGAGAGCCGTGTCACTGCCCTTTACAGCAGGGGCCGCGCTGTAAGTCTCCCATCCACGCGCACACACAGACATAAGGAGCCGGGACAGGCCGAACCCACGAGAAGGCCTGCTGCAAGGCGTGCGGGCTGCCAGCCCAGACTGGGAGAAGAGTCTGTGGGCCCAGTGCTTTCCACAATGGTGTTGGCACCAGACCACTCAGGGAGTTAAAAACGTAGCTTCCTGGGTCCTGGCCCCATCCTCCGTAAACAAGATACAACAGGAATTCAACCCAATTCTACTGCATTCAGGCTCTCAGGCAAATTTATGTGCAGTAAGATTTGAGAACCACTAATATAGGCCATTTCTTAGAGTATCTTCCATGCTTCACTCTGAGAGGGCCAGTATTTTCCATCTGCTGTTATAGCAACAATATCAGCCTCCCAGTGTAGTCACAGCAAGAGACAGTTTACAAGCAAATGAAGATCAAAGGTACGAGGCTAAGACTCAGAAACTACAAACCAATAGCTCATGAATCAGATATATCTTGTATGCCTCACACTATACTGACCCATTTTAGGATTAAAAAACTTTTCAAAAGATAAGTAGGCAAAATTTAACAATGGCATTTTACACAAAAATCTAGATTCACAACTTGATTGAAAACAAACCACAACAGACCTCGCAGCACTGAGCCAGCCACATAGAACTAACTGCCTTCTTAGGCGGGACACGCATACTGAGGGTGCCACAGTTCCCGTTGCTCCCACTGTCCTGCCGAGGTCACTCCAACCCTGAGGCACAGTCTCAGCTGCCATTATCATCACACTTGCATTGGTTTTCTTACGATAGAGATTAAAAGAAGAAAGTTTTTTTGGTTTATTTTTGCACCTGTGTTCATCAGAAGGAACCATACGGGCCACAGGTTTCAAAAGCACATTGCTTTGTGGAAACGAAGACTATGCGAGCAGCATGTCTGCGCTGAAAGACTACCAGCTACGATGGCGCTGTGCAAGACGACCCTGCAGCCATGTAGGCATTTCAGTTTGTGACCTGTGGATGGTGCTTCTTCTCTGGACTGGGTGATTCTACTGCAGCCTCCTCTACAGTAGACAGAATCGCTGATCTCCTACTACACTTCAGAGACGGGGCAGGCAGCCCCCTAGCGAGTCTATCTGGTGACTGCTCCATATGAAAGAAACATAGAAGTGGTGCTGACTTTTGTATTGAGGGAAGACTCAAGAAGCTCTGCTCATTAACAAGGCTGCTTCCACAGTGAGCTGTGTGTACACAGGAGAAAGCAACAGCAAGACACCGCACAGGCGAGTGCCTGGGGATCCGGGAGCTGTGCTTCAGGTTTTACACTGAGGAGGAATCCGCGGCTGCGCAAGGATGTCACTTTCACACTGCAACATTCGCTGTGGCTACTAAAAGGGGGAAGTGGCCATATGCACTCTAGGCCTCTCTCATACTGATCTCAACACTGTCCTGAAACTTAACAGGAGAAGGAAGCCACCTGCAAAGTGATACCCAAGATACTGCCGCCAATTTTTCTGCGGTCCACTCAGTGATGCTTTCCAATTGCAGAATAAAGCTTCAAAAAGGAGGCAACATCCAGAGGCATATTCAAATACCAGATCCTTCTTTTTCCAGGCTCGAACTACAGGATTGGTAGAATTTAAAGCATACTTACCTAAGAAAAATGCTACAGTCTCAGAAAAGGATGACAGGAACATGCTAGGAGCCACTTCTCCTAGGACCCTGCCCAGCTGCTGATCCAGGGTTTCCCCTTGAAGACGTTCATCTCTCTTTAAAAAAAAAAATTAAACACATGGTGTTAGAATTTCCCAGTAACAATGCCACCTCTTTGTTGCCTTGTGTTAACTCAAGGGAAAGGAAGCATGATTAGTAGGTGATTAGCAGTGTCTTCTCTGCATATAAACTTTGATGGGGGACCCCAAAGTTCTCATGTTAATTTGTTCCAAGTATTTCTGAACCACTGAGCTAGGTACCAGGTGAGAAAATCCAGGAAAGACTGGATCATGTTATCAGGAAAATACATGGAACAGGCTGCAGGTTGCTGGACCGTTAAATGACACTTGCACATGCCATGGAGCCTCTACTCAGGGCCTGTAAGATGACTGAGACCACTTCCTAAAGCAGCAGGTCATGTGTAGACCTGCCTTTTGTTTTGTTTTGTTTTATTTTGTTTTGTTTGAGATGGAGTCTTGCTCTGTCACCTGGGCTAGAGTGCCCTGGAGTCAGCCTAACTCACAGCAACCTCAAACTCCTGGGCTTGAGTGATTCTCCTGCCTCAGCCTCCCAAGCAGCTGGGGCTACAAGCGTGTGCCACCACACCTGGCTAATTTTTCTATTTTTAGTAGAGACAGGGGTCTCACTCTTGCTCAGGCTGGTCTTGAACTCCTGACCTGAAGCGATCCTACCACCTCGGCCTCCCAGAATGCTAGGATTACAGGTGTAAGCCACCAAGCACGGCCGACCTTCTGCCTTTTTAGTGGCACTTTTGAACAAATCTACCATTCTCCTATACTATGCTGAGAATCATTTTAACAGCAGTCATACTGTTAAATATTTTCCAAAAGTGTGTTAGCTCTTCTTACATACATGCGAAACAAGATACCACTTAAAACAAAATTCTCAGTTTCTTTCTATTCCACCAACCAAAGAGAAGCGGTAAAATTCTTGGTCCCAAAATGGCCATAACAAGTTGAGAAGCCCAACAAGCCATATGGGGAAAGGAAACACAGCCCCTCACTGGCCACACTCACAGATGCAGCACTGAAGAGCCACTCATGGACCCTGGTACTTGGACAGTTGCCAGGCTCCGTGAGAATATGGAAATATACCTGGTAGGTCTGCACCAGAATGAAGATGTTGTCCACCCCAACAGCCAGCACCAGGAACGGGATGACTTCAATCACGATGAGGGTCAGGGGGATCCCAACGTAGCTGAAGATGCCCAACGAGCACGTCACCGAACTCAACACGATCAGGATGCCCGCGATGCCTAGGGAGACCTTCGAGTCCACCTGAGGGATGTGGCAAAGACATAGGTCAGTCACTGGCCAAAGGGTTTTCTGTCCTATTTGTTATTTTTTTACATGGGTATATCCAGTCTAGACTTAAAAGTATAATTCTCAGTTTGAGAGAAGATATGAAAAAATTTCTAGGTCTTCCCTAGCAATGTATTTTACAAGCTTACATTCTTAGGTGATGGAGTGAACAAATCAGAAAAAATTGGATTATGTAAAATAGACTTTAAGATAAACCAAAAAATTGGAACTGAAGAAAACAGATGCAGGAAACAGAAAAGTTACATACAATTAAAACGGGGATTTAAGGCAGTTTTGAACACAGTGAATCAAGAGTAAATAAAGGCAAAAACATGACATCA